CCCCCGACCGTGGTGCCCCTGGCCCCGTGGACCCTCTCCAAACTGTCCTGTTTGGCATGTGATTGAACCGACCAATTCTGCTCCTGTAGCACATGTGTCACTGATGCCTGTGTGTCTGTACCACCCCGCGCGGCACTGCCGATGGCGGCTACCATGGATGCATGATAGTGAAATGTTTTGCACTATTTTGAAATTTTTTGGCTCTGTAAAAATATTTTATTATAACTGACATTAAAAAGCACACCCTTCACTGTGGCTACTGTGGGGGTGCGGGAGGGCAGGCACACAGGGGCTCTTCATCTCCACTCCCACTCCAATGCAGCACTTGCACCTTTAAGGTTAACACCAAGGATAAATAGCCCTGGGACGCTGCAGCAACTCTCTGCACTCAGCCTCCCTGAGGGCTGCTCTTCAGGGCACCCGCCCTCTGCAAAACCAAGAGCTTCAGGACAGGCGTTAAATGAAACTGGACCAGACCTGTCCTGAGAAGTGATGCTCTATTCTCAACCACTGTGCTGCAAAGTCTCAGGCATGGGACTGCCAACGCAGCCTCGCCAAGGGCAAACCCAGGGCCTTCCACAGTGGAGTGACTGCATCACTGGACAAGGGAAGAGCTAGGGATGTCATCTACCTGGACTTCTGTAAGGCTTTTTACACAGTTACCCAAAACATTCTTGCCCCTAAACTGGCATCATACGGATTTGATGAATGCAGGGCCCCGATACCCTGCAGAGAAACCTGGGGCTTTTGCCTGGTTTTTGGCTGGCACCTGGGCAGGCACCTGCTTCTCTCACGAGAGCACCAGGGCTTCGCTGAGCTTTGCTGGGACTGGGGCAGTGCTCTGCTGCCCTCCAGAGCCATCATTAGACTTTGCCCTAAGCCTCACAGGGACCTGCTGCCCTCCAGAGAGCCCATGGCCCTTTGCAGAGCTTTACCAGAACCCTCAAGAGGGCATGCAGCCCTCCAACATGCCCCAGAGCTTTTGCCAGACTTTGCTGGTGTAAAAACTTCTCTCTGGGGTTCCCCCAGTCCTTTGTGAGGCTTTGGAGGCATCTGGGCAGAGACCTACTGTCCTCCAGAGAGCTCCTGGGCTTTCACTGAGCTTTGACAGGGTCCCAATGCTCTCCAGAGTACCGTGGGGCCTTTGCTGGGGCCTGTGGCACTCCAGAGAGCCCCAGGGCTGTTGCTGGGCTTTGCTGGACTCACAGAATGGTTTGAGTTGGAAGGGGCATTTAAAGATCATAGAGTCTGACCCTATCCTGGCTCCTAGGAGCTCTTGTCTTTTCCCAGTGATTCCTGATGGATACACCCATTCTCAAGGTTTTCTGGATTAATGCAGCACCGTCCCTAGTTTTAATCATCACTGTTGGGACTCCTGTGCCCATGTGAAAAGTGAGAGAATGTCTGTCATTTACTACTAACAGTATACAAAGGCTATTACTAATATTTATTCTCAAAAGTCTGGCCACTTGGGATAGGTCATGGGAACTCCCAAGGATTGCCTCCCTAAGTTTCCCCATAGTTGGGCTGGAGGAGGAGGTAGAACAATTTTATCTAACAACTTCCCAACATCCAGGCCATCAGTACAATGTCTTTTACGATTATCCCATAGTTTCTGTAAGGTGGGGGGAGCCTGTTGAACTGGCCTATTGTAAATCCTGTTGCTCCCAGGAGGTCCTATAAACACCGCTGTGTCTCACTTCTGTGAGTCAGAGACTCCTTTTATGTCAGATTGATTGGTTTTAATGGGGCAGTTTTTAATATTTTTGTCCCTGACTCTTATGCTTGGTCAGGGCCCCACTGCCAAGAGTGCCCTGGGGCTTTTGCTGGTATATTGGGTTTATGTGGGAAGGTTTTGATATTCAGGGTGGCTGCAGAGATATCTTCTGTGACATGCCAGAAGTCACAGCCCCATGTCAAACAGAGCTAGTTCCAGCCAGCTCCAAGACTTACTGCTAGCCAAAGTGGAACCAATCTGCGACAGTGGTAGCGCCTCTGTGATGACATGTTCAAGAACGGGTAAAAACTGCTGTGTAACAGCAAGGAAAAAGGAGTGTGAGAACAACTCTGCAGACACACAGGTCAGTGCAGAAGGAGGGGCAGGAGGTGCTCCAGGCACCAGAGCAGAGGTTCCCCTGCAGCCCATGGAAGTCCACAGTGGAGCAGGGAAGTCAAGATCTCCCCTAAGGGCAAGGTGTACTTGTCCTGAGATTTCTCCTCATGGCCTATTGAATAACTCCACAGTGCAGGCATCCCGGCTGGACCATTGGTAGCAGACACCCACTGCAACAGCTTGCTTTGTTTTCCATGCCCCTCATCCTCACCCAGAGGCTCTCCACCACATCCTTGCTGGCCATAAGGGCCGTACCGTCCAACCTCTCCCTTACACAGAGTGCGGCACCTCCACCTCGCTTACCCTGCCTACCCCTCCTGAACAGCCTGCAGCCTCCACACCAGCACTCCAGGCATGGCACTCGTCCCACCACCAAGTCCCAAAACTCCCAAGGACATGCCAGCTCTAGGAATGCGGCAAGGCTTCCAGCCAAAGGCACTTGAACTCACAGCCCGAGAGGTGCCTAAAGGAGCCGGGGGCACCCCAGCCCCCTCCAAACCCTTTCCTGCCCCAAGAGGAGCTGAGGAGGCTGTTGGGGTAGGGCAGAACACGCAGAGACCCCACATTCCCTCCTGGGAGACACCAAAGTCCTTAGCAGCCAACAGCTAGACCACAACATGGCACCGCCACCACTGCAGCTCCCACTGTGCAGCACTCGGGACCCCCCGGCTCCTGCAGACTTTTGTCCTTCCCCAAACCTTCTACCCCTGAGGTAGGGACCCACCCCAATCCCTTGCACCCCAAGGATGCTCTTGGGGGCAAGGGCAGAGCTGACCACCAGCCATCACTCCTGTCTCTCAGCCACCCTGACTGCCCTGCCAGCAGCAGCCCTGTTCCTTTGGCATCCTCAACCCCTGGGCACTCCCAGCATCCCCGTCAGCCCTGGCCCCAGGGCAGTTTTGGCCCCTACCCTTGCCTGGGTGATGCATGCCCAGTAAACCCAGTTCCCAGAGAATTTCCCAAGTATTTGGGGCCATCTCTCCCATTTCACCTCCTAGAAGCCAGTCTCCTCCCTGCTTTGCAATTCTGTTCTGCTGGCACAGTGGCTCACTCCAGCCACAAGCTCCCCATTGGCCGTTGGAGCCAGCTCAGTGGGTGCCCCAGCAGGGTCCCTCAAGCCCAGCACGGCGTTCTCACCTACACAGGTCTGCAGAGGGCTGCATGAAGCAGCTTCTTCAACCTTCAGCTCTTAACACATCAGGTGGACATTCACCAACCTGCGTCCATCAGCCCACTCCACACTCAGCCATGGCACCGCTCCTCTGCCATTCAGCCACAGCACTACTTCCCTGTGGTGGCCATGGACACCCCTTTGCCAGAGCCCATGCAGGATCCTACTGCCCTCTGTGGGTCCAGCTGGCTTTCTGGGGCTAACTGAAAGAGAATGGATTTAGATGGGACTTGAAGAAACATCTTACAATGAAGGTGGTTAAATTCTGGAGCAGGCTACCCAGAGAGCTTGTGGAACTTCATCATTGGAAGTGTTCAAATTTAGGTTGGATAGGGCTTTGAACAACATTATCTAATGAAAGGTGTCCCTTTCCCTTGCAGAGGGTTAGAATCTGTAAAGGTCCTCTCCAACTGAAACTATTCTATAATTCATGAAAAGCCCCAAGAATGCCCCAGTGATGGTCCTCAAGCTTCCTCACTCCACCCTGCACTCCCCCCCCCCCCCCCCCGACAGCCTCAGACTCTGAAGTTATCTGCAAAGACTTTTATTGCCTTCAAAGGATTAAAAAGTGGCCAAAATTCCCAGGGCAGGACTGCCATGGGCCCTGGCTGTGCCACAAACAGGGCACCTGAGTTTCAATAAACAAACAACTTCCCAGAAGAACAGCACACAAGTGCTGTACCCCCAGCCTTCATGGCCCTCCCGCAACCCTCAGACACTCTCGATGGGACACTGGCAGCAGTGCAGGGCCAGACCTGGGCTCAGAGGGGGACAAGGAAGGCCAGGTCAAGGGCATCAGGGATGCGGAGCTCATCCAGGTGCAGGGGGGAGGCGACGAAGGGCAGGTGCACAGGGAAGAGGTGGCTAGTATCCACCAGGAGCTGGCTGGGTCTCCCTCCATACTGGTCCTGCAGCTGCTTCTGTGGGGATACAGTGCTCACATCCAGAGCTGCCCCAGTGAGGGAGCACATGCAGGGCAGCGTCCCCCGGCACTGGGCCCCAAGTTCCACTTACCTCAACACTGCTGATGAAGCTGGGACTGATGCGCTCCTCCAGCCCAACAGCTGGGGTGTAAGCCCGGAGTATCTTCACGACCTGGAGGAGATGGTGGGGAAGATGAAGAGGGAAGGAAAGGTCTGGGTACAACAGACATTTTGGAGTATGGTATGGTCCCCACCCCAGTGCATCCCTGGTGTACCCGGGGAGGCCAAGGAGCCCCAGGATAGGATCAGTGCCCAGCAGGCAGCAAGTCCCAACCCCCCAGTACCTGCTGGGGCGACAGCACCGTGCACAGGCTGCAGAGAGCTGCAGCGTCCTCCTCTGTCACCTTCTTCACCTGCAGCAGCTGGGCAGCCTGGACCAGGGGCTCCAGCACCTCACGGGCCCCACTCTGGTGCAGCCCCTCTGCCCGCAGCCACTGTTCCAGCTGGCTGATGTTGTACCTGCCGGGGAGACCAGGTCAGGGGGAAGCACAGGCCGTGCCCCAGCTCTCCTAGATACCTGTCCTGCACAGGGACTGACCTGAGCTGAATGCCACGGCTCCAGGAGCATGTGTCCTTTCTCAGCAGCAGGTAGTTGAGGGTGGTGCCACTGATGAGAAAGAGGAGCTGGCGTAGGGCCTGGTGCCCTACACTGGGCGCCAGCCCATGGCGGTCCAGCACTGCACGGAAGGAGCCCAGCTGCTGCAGCAGCTCAGGCAGGGTGTGGGCAGGGGCTGCCGAGGACCGGTGGTGGCCAGGAGGGCAGGAAGATGACAAGCCCTGTATGGGCTCACTTTCCAGCATTGCAGCAACTAAAGGGTAGAAAAGGCTCATCATAATGAGTCAGAGACCCTGTGTTGTGCCTCAAGCAGCCAACGTGCTCCTTTGGTCCCTGTATCCCCCAACTGGGATACAGAGACCAGTGATACCTCCAGGATAGCTGGCCCAGGCTAGCCCAGGGGCTGGCCCTGCTCTGTGAGGCTGTAAAGCAGCTCATGGGGGAAATAGAGCTCCCCATAGATGCAGCCTAAGGTTCCTGGGGTGCTGACCCCACTTTAGCTCTCCAGCCACCTCCTTCAAGCCAAGATGCTCGAGAAGGAGATGATCCCTTATAGAAGGGGAACCCCAATTCAGAGCCTACCTTCCCCCTCTGGGTGCAGCCTCTGTAACACAGCAGGCAGTTCACACAGCTGAGCTCAGCACTCCCTCCCTGAACCAGCATCCTGTGAGTGCCCTGCAAGCCTCCCAAGCCCAGGCCATACCAATCATGGGTTTGAGGTGCTTCTCAGCTGTGCGGATGAGCTGCTGATAGAGCTGGACAGCCAGGGCACCCAGGCTGCGGCAGGAGCTCTGGGGGTCCACGTTCTGCAGGCGATGCTTGTTCTGCCGTACCGTGTTCCCCTGGCAGTAGCTCTGTGGGCACAGACTGGGTCAGAGCCAGCAGTACTGGGGGACACAGCTGGGTCTCCGAGCAAGTGTGGAGACCTGTCAGCCCAGCACATCCCTGCCTACCTGGGTTGGGGGTAAAGAGGATGCAGCCCCAGGTGGTGACAAACCCTGCCCCACTAAGCTCCTGCCCTTACCAGGGAACTGGCAGACCCCCCCCAACCCAGCACTACCTTATCCTGGCTGTACTGGTGCAGGCAGTTCAGGAGCCGGCAGGTGTTGGCAAGCCAGAGTGCCACCATGTCAAAGTCATCACTGTGCTTCTGTAGGAGGGAACAGAAGATCACTGGGGTCAGCAGGGCTCTGGTGGTGACAGCAGCAAGCCCTCACGCCCTGCAGTAACTCCGTGAGCCATACAGAGCCTGATGAGGGCTGTGGGGGCACAGACCTGTCAGACCCTCTTGCAGGAGCCCTGCAGCACCCAGGAGCACTCCTCACCCCAGAAGAGCTTCAGGCTGGACACTGGAGTCAGGCACATGCTGCCCTCCAGGCCAGGCTACTGCCCCAGTGCCAACCCCTCCTTGGCCAGTGAAGCTCCTGCTCCTCAGCCCAACCCACAGCCCCAAGCCCAGCACCTTCATGACCCTTTTGATTGCATTGATGGCTGCATCCAGGAGCGAGCGGGCCCGCAGCTCATCACAGCAGTGATCTGCATGCCGGAAGCACAGGAAGAGGATGTAGGCAGGCAGGTCTGGGAGCATCCCAGGGCTTCTCTGTGGTTTGTAGTCTGCAGGGGAAAGCAGGACAGTTGGAATCCAGGCAGCTATAGAAAGCTGGTCCTGAGTCATGCAGGATGCTGCCCCAGCAACACTGAAAGGATGAGCTTACAGAAGTTGGCAAGAAACCCTAGCAGAGACCAAGCTGGGGCAAGGAGTCCACATGTCTCCAAAACCCTACCTGTGATGACAGCCTTGATAATGCGCCCTTCATCCTCCATCCTCCACGCTAGCATGGCCTGGGACTGGGAAAGGACCATAGCGGACGCTGCCAACTCCTGTGCTGGCCCGATAGCCTCTCTCTTCCCTGGGGAAGAGGAACACAGATCACATCCAACTGTGTCCTGGGATATAGGACCCTGATCAGGTCCAAGCAGATGCTTCCCAGCATCTCTGTTTGGAGGGACTGCTCCCCGTGTTGAAGCTGAGCAATGCTCCAGCCTCAAACCAGGCTGGTGACCCTCTAACCAGCCCCATGCAGGCACTTGCCTGTGAGCTCTTGGATCTGCTCCACATAGATTCTCAGTTGCTTCTGGAGCTTCAGTGTGGTCCTCTCCTGCTTCTCCAGCTTCTGGGCCAGCTCCTGGGCAGAGACAGCCCCAGCAAGGCTCAGCCAGCCTCCCTCAGCTGGACACCCCCACCAGCACCCAGCAAGCTGGCAGGGATGCGGCAGAGTCCCCCACATTGCTCTTTAAGGAGCTGCTGCAGCTCACCACAGGGCAAGGCGGTGGAAGCCAGCCTCAAGCCTGGTCCTGCCCCCTTACCCCCAGCCCTTACCCGGTTCTCCTCCTGGAGCTGCAGGACACAGTGCTGCAGCCCCTCCTGCTCCTGGTGCCGCTGCAGGTCCTGGATAAGAGCTGCTTGCTGCTGGCTCAGCTTCTTGAGTGAGCAAATATCGAGGTGCAGACCTTCTACCTCCTCCTCATGCTGCTGCTTCTCCTCTCGCAGCTGACTTGCCAGCAGCCTACACACAGGCACCCAGGGAAACTGAGGCACCAGCCTCTTTCAGCTGCCACACCCCACCCCTTGGGGAGGCTGCTGAAGAGGTATTTCTCCTCTGAAGCCTGAGCTGGGAACTCTCCCCCCTGCCCAGGCAGCACAGACTGAGCTGCACTACCAGAGTATCTCCCCTCCAGCTGCGCTGAGCCTCAAGGCACAGACAGTACAGCCCACAAACAGGCTACACCAGCCCTGCCCTCTTAGGAGGCTCCTGTTGAGCCCACTCATATAGTGGGCGTGCCTGTGCTCGGAGCAAGGTGGGATGTTCCAGCCCCCCAGGAAAATGCAGCTGGGTGCACTGGAGAAGAGGGGAGGAGAGCCAGGGCTACCCCACACCCAGCTGGGCAGCAAGGGGCAGGCTGCCAATAGCTATTTGGGAGGTAACTGCTTCAAAGTGGATTTGCAGTTGCCCAGCACCGCAGAAGCCAGGCAGCTGCAACCCAAGCCATGGCTGGGTAAAACACCAGGGAAAGCCCCACCAGCAGCATGGATCCAGTAGCCCATTGTGGGGAAGCCAGCCTCAAGTGGGGACCATTTCCCTGGATCACACTTACTTATTGGCAACCTGTACCGCATCATATGCGTGCTTCAAGTCATCATCCACCTTCTCTGGGCTCCTGCCCAGCCCCAGCATCTCAGCTATGTGCTGCAGGGAGAAGAGAGCAGGGTGAGGCCAGCCCTGCCAACCTGGATCTTGCCCTGCTCATGGTCGCGGGGCAGGAGCTCACCCTGCGCTTGAGGAAGTCCAATGGTTTCCTCTCCTCCTGCTCCATGGGGGCCTTGGTCCTCCGCAGCTCCTCCCGGGTCCGGGCTAGCTCCTCATTGGCAGCATTGAGCTGCCCCAGGAGGAGAAGGTATGCCTTCTCAAAGGGATCCTGGCCCACACTGCTGGGCTGTGGGTGCAGCCCCTCTGGCACTGGCTGCCAGCGCTCCTCCAGCCCCTGGGTACAGAGACAGGGTTTGGCACAGCAGCCAATGCTGGGCACCAGCACGCCTACAGACACCCCTCCCTGATGATACCAGCTCCCAGCCAGGAGCCCCACGGCACAGCTGTCCCCACAGCCAGAGGAAGGGACAGTCTACTTGTCACTCCCACCCCACCAGCGTCACCACTAGCCTCAGCCTGCTGGTCGGAGCCATCTCGCGAGGGAGCTGTGGACATGGAGGATAAGTAGCTGCTCTCGGAGCCCAAGAAGCTCTCTGATGAAGGGGACCGTCTCAAGGTGCTTTGCTGAGAGGGGAAAGAAGGACAAAGTTGTTCTCCTGCACCCCAAGTGCCTGCTGGTGCATGGGCTGGGGCAGAGCAGCGATAGCCTCAAGAGGCTTGAGGATCCCCCAGCACACGAGCTGCTGAGCCCACTTCTCCCGTAGGTGCCCTGGACCAGCCAGCACTGCCTCCACCCCACGAGGAGCCAAGGGAGGGGTTGCCCTGAGCCTCCCTGCGTCCCTGCCAGCCCCTCACCCTGTGGAAGGCCACCTCATCCCGCAGGTTCTCATAGCCCTGCTCCAGGCGGGTGTACTCCTGCACCAGGCTCTGGTAGCGTGCCCGCTCCTCCTCCAGCTCCTGCAGCAATCCCTGGCTCTCCCGTGCCGCACGCTGGTGCTGCTCTGTGGGGACAGACACAGCAGGGAGTGGGGAGAGGCAGAGCCAGGACCCCTCTGTGAGGGGACACGCAGGAATACACCAAGCCTGCGGGACCAGCCCATACCCAGGGAAATGGGATAAGGGGATCAGAGGACCTCTTTTACCTTCCAGGTCCTGTGACTGCTCTGACATGCGCTGGATTAGGGCATCCCTCTCCTCCCCCAGCTGCAGCTTCATGGCTTCCACCTCTGCCAAGCGCTGCAGGAAAGCGGAGGGGTACGTACAGCCAGAGCCCTGCCCAGGGCCAGCCCTGCCTGTCAGAGGTCCCCTCCAGGGACCATGCATGGCAGGAAGCCCAGCGTGCTGCCAGGTCCCTGGAGATCCATGCGGAGCCCCAGCAGAGCAAAAGCATCCCCTCACAGACAGACCTGCCTGAGCTCCTCAACCTCCTGGCCCAGGCAGCTTTTCATGCTGTGCCTCTCCAGCTCAGCCAGACGCTCTTGCAGCTGCTGGACCTGGATGTCATGGGCCGCATCCTCCCGCAGCCGCTGCATCTCTGCCTGCAGGCGCTGCACCTCCTCAGCATGGGCAGCATTCAGCTGCAAAAGTTGCTCCACCAGCCGCTGCTTCTCCTGGGCCTTAGGCCAATAGAGAGAGCACATCAGGCGGGTAGCCAGGAACAAGGGCATATCCACACATCTCCCATGCATATTCAGGCTGCCCTTCTGCAATGAACCTAGAAAACCCATTTCCAACCCATCTGTTTGGAGCCCTGAGCCTTTGGTACCACCTCAAACAGATCTCAGGCCTGAGAGAGCAGCTCTCCATGACATGACATGCCATCCCATCCCACATGGAGCCATGCATGAGCTTTGCCATGGCCTTATAGCCCATTACCCCCCATCCTGACCAGCCCTAGCAGCAAGATTTTCCAGCGCTGCTTCCCCCAACTTGCAGAGACAGGACCACACCACAGGAGCCCTCTCTTCCCCCCTCCACAGACACCCCCAGGAAAGGAGTGGTGACAGCTGGAGCAGAGACACTCACCCAGATTGCGATGGCAGATGCTGCCAGCAGGCGCATGGTGGGAGAACATACCATGCCGGAACTGTTCCCAGCACATGATGCTGTTACAAGACTGCATCCAGCCAAGCACCCAGGAGGGTGCCTAGTCCATCCCCAGGGCCACCAGCCCCACATCCATAGGGAGCACTGAAAGCCCAGGAATGAGACCCAGATGCATGACTCCTGCCTGGGGACACATGTTGGGCAGAGCCAGCTCCTGCCCCAGGGCTAGGGGAGGACTGAAGACCAGGGTAGACACAGCTTTGATGACAAAGAGCAGCTGCCCCCACATCCTGAGACCCAGAAAGGGCTGAAGCCAGCACCCACCTGCTCATCCAGCCTGCACTGCAGCTGTATCACCTTGATCTCCATGCCCTTGTGCAGCTGCTTGTAGTGCTCAACCGAGCGTGCCTCAACACGCAGCCGCCGCAGCTCCCGGCATGCCTGC